AAAATCCCTCTTCTGGCCTCCAAAGGCACCTGCACACAGCACATCACACACACACACAGACACACAATACACAGAGGGACACACACACATGGACACACAATAAATAATGAAGACTTTTTCTTTTTTTTTTAAAGAGAGGAATGATCAAATCAAATGCAACAGAGTCAGTGTGAGCTGGAGATGAAGGTGTTGAGACTCAAGCTCTTGACCTCTCTGTTTAAGTTCCTTAGGAAAAGACCCAGGCTGTTTTAGGATAAACAAACACCTGGCCCCAGTCCTGCCCCATGGATCTTTGTGCAGAGAGAGGAAAGTTTGGTGATTGCTTCCATGAAGAGCGGTGGGTGGTCTTTAGCCTTGCTGGAATATTGTAGACTTGAAATGTGGATCTGAAGAGTAAAGGCTTTCTTTTGCTTATTTTTAAATTGATTTAGACTTAAATAACCCTCCATGGCTAGTTGTATGGCTCATGGGAGTTTTAAGAATTCTAAAGAGAGATATAAATACATAATTTAACTTAATGGATATTAATTGTAGTCTAATGGCTGAATGTGCTACAAAGAAGTATTATAATTAATATAGTTCTATAGCTGCATTTTACTTCTAAAAATGTTTGGTTCATGTATTTATTTCTTTTATTAACTTTTCAATATTTGCTTGACTTTGTCTTCTATAGTCTATGTGAGTCTGTCTCTAATATTGAAGATTTATATATCTTAATGGACAAGAACCACAAAGGTATTGTCAAATTTGCTAGTGTGTATTAAGTAATTGTTTTGAGTATTTTCTTTATATTATCAAATGGCTTCAGCAAATGATTAGTGGATTATGTATGTAGCTCAGTGAGAGAATACTTGCCTATTGTAGGCAAGGTTCTGGGTTTCATCCCCAGCCCTGCACAATAACACTAAGGGTCTACATGTGCTCAAAGTGATAATATGATGATTTCAGATTAATTTGATCAACAGAAGTGTAGTTCATAAATGAAAGATCTCAATCCACTTCAACACAACTCAATTCCATTAACACATAGTAAGACCACATTATTTATTTACTCATAGTAAGACCACATTATTTACACATAGTGAGACCACTTTATTTATTAACACATAGTAAGACCACTTTATTTATTTACATATAGTAAGACCACATTATTTATTTTCACATAGTAAAACCACATTATTTATTTACACATAGTGAGACTATATTATCTATTAACA